TCTATGATTTTCTGGCTAGAGAAAAGTTATTGAGTCCCTACCAATGTTACTTCCGTATGGGCCACTCTACTGATTTGGCTGTCTTATCATTCACTGACAGCATAAGGCGCAATATGGATCAGGGTCTACTAACTGGTTGCAGTTTTCATCGATTTGCGAAGAGCGTTAGATACAGTGGACCATGACCTGCTACTGAAGAAACTCACGATGGGATATGGAGTCACTGGAAAAGAGCTTGGATGGTATAGGGATTACCTAACCGATAGACGACTAGTGGTGACAGTCCAAAGTTCTCTGTCAGACCCTTGTGATGTTGCTTTTGGTGTGCCGCATGGTTCAATCCTTGGACCCGATTGTTGTTTGTGCTGTTCATCAATGATTTACCTACTGCTATCAGCAAATGTAATATATTATTATACGCTGATAATACTGTTGTTTTTGCAGCCCGCAAGGACATTAAAATCTTGGAGGAAATTTTGAATGCAGAACTAGATGAAGTGAACAAAAAGACTTTCAGTAAATTTCTTTTTATTGAAAAAAGAAAAACAGAATTTGGAACTTTTGGAACTGATGCTAGGCTTTCTAAAGCTACTGACACAGTAGTTGTCAAAATAGGTGATTATGAAATAAATAGAGTTTACGATTTTAAGTATTTAGGCATTGTTCTTGACGATAGTCTTACGAGGAAAGACCATGTTCGTTATGTCATTTCTAAGGTCGGTAAAAGAGTTGGTGCCTTAGGGCGCCTCAGAAGGAATATCACTTTACATACAGCTCTTGAGATGTATAATTCATTAATTTTGCCCATTTTTTATTATTGCGATGTTGTTTGGTCCAGCTGCAATAAAGCAGATATGGAAAGTCTTGAATCTTTGCAAAGGCGGGCCTCGAAAATTATAGTTAAATCTAAATGGGGTACAACATCCACCGACAATCTTAATTTTCAGAGTTTAGAAGATCGCCGTAACGCTCATATTTTAAGTTTAGTGAAGAGGTATTTAAGCAATAATGTACCGCAGTTTTTAAAAAAATTATTTTAAGTTGAATAAGGAAGTCATTTTAAGAGAAACAAGAAGAATCAATTTTATATACTTACCCTCAGCAAGAACTGAGAGCACCAAGAAAAGTTCTTTTATTATAATGGCTCAGTTGTGTATAATAATTATTTATTAAATAAGAATCAGTTTTAATTGTTATACTGTACTATTTTAACTTAGTTACTTAGTTTCTTATTATTTATTTTTAAAACTTTTCGTTAGTTTTTAATTTAGGGCTCCTATTGATAACAGATGTACCTTTAAGTATTCTGAAGGGATTACCCTAGTTAAATAAAGGTTTACTACTACTACTACTTTGCAGCAAGGAAGGATTCAATATTGAACTGGAGACTGCTTACTGGAGGAATAGAGCTTCTAGAGCTAGAATCGCTATCTTTGCCAACAACCGAGATGGTTGCGGTGATGTTGATTCCAGAATTGGGTTTGGAACAAGAGGGCCGCATGCTGACAACAAAACGTAGGGAAAAGATGGTGACTCGAGACACATCAAAGCCATGGGATACATCTTGGTTCAGTGAAAGAAAAAAGAGATGATACGGTGATGAACAACACCATATTGTTCAAAGATAACAATCAAATTTAGGAACACAATAATATCTAAAGGTCTGCACAGAATATAACACCGGCACAACATTTGAGTGAAGCAATTGCAGTGGCAATCGCTGACTTCGAGTTATAACTGATTCAAGTGTCCAAATTTTCCACACTTCATTATACTCGAGACGTAACCTGAAATGCGAATAAAAATAAAGGAAACGCTACTTTAAGGAAGCGTAAATAACTCGGCCTACTATTTATATTCATTGAGTAACTTAATCCGTAGCAATACTTATCTTGTTGATTTTAAGTTAGCTCAATAGAATAGTAATCCATATCTTGTTGGTAATTTTCTGCAATGCTACAGCAATATTCACATAGAAAAATCATTTTTGTTTTTGATCATTATTTTGGTAGTACACTATTATTTCTAAAAACAAAAGGTCATGGCTGTATATTTTGATTTCATCGAGTCTCATTTTTTTTTCCTATAAAAAAAAAATTACCCACAAAGTTAATAAAAAATGCATGAGGTTTAAATATGTCTATAATAGACATAGTAACTTTGAAAGTTTTCTTTAATCTTTTCCTTATAGTCTATGATCTACGGTACAATAAGAGACGAGCAAATGTTGTTTAATTGAGTAATATACAATAATTTGATGGTAATAGTACCGAGTGGAGTCCAACTCGATCTGTAGTCCTATGAACGATAAATCACTCGTATGATTCGCAGTCGTCCGATTTTTATCACGGTTATAATTACAATTTCAACAAATTTTTTTTTTAGTTTTTATTAAGATTTCAATATGTCCAAGAGAAGAAAAGGAATCAGAAAAACCAGGAAGGTTTATAAAAGTTACATACTGAAATATTATTTAGAAATGCTAGATTTCAAACAACAAGGAAAATCTTAAAATCATTTATTTTAGCGACTATAGCCTCGGAATTCTTACATACGGTAAGTGATACGAATGACTCTTCCCATTGTGTCGACAAGAGGAAACCGTATATCACTGTAAGACCTGGAACAGCCTTTAAATACAAAGCATATTTTATCGGTTTGATACTTATGATCAGAACTCATTAATCATTTCAATGGTGACCTCCAAATTATCAAACTCGCCATCCGCTTCACTTCAAAGGACTAATTAAGAATATTTTGTAGCGTTAGTCTTTTTCTTGAACACATTTGGTTTCGTGCTGACAGTTTTGCATCAAGCAGCAAATAACTTCGCTGGGTTAAAAACTACAGGGAACCGAAACACAGCTTCTCTGTTGTCGTCTTTATTTGCGGTCGGGTGTGCTTTCGTAATTTCCAAAAGGAAAAAGTGTTATGGTTACATATCGTAATTTCATCAAATCTCGGATTCCTCTTGTCTTAAAGAGGCAAGAAGCAAATTAACGCTAACAAAAAGTAATGATAATAAAAATAATAAGAAAAAGCTTTACCAATAAGAATAACGCCATCCATTATTAACAAACAAAGTTTCACAATATTTCATCGTTTTCAATTAACATCGAACTAAACTCCAATTGCGAAAGGATTAAAAAAAATTTGTATAACAAACATGAGAAATTAAAAAAAGTTCTTCTAAATGCCTTCAAGACAAATGTTACCAACTGTCTTCATCAACTTTTTGTTAAGAATTAATGCCTCAAAAGAAAGACATATGGAACCTTAGTGAAAAAAAATTGGTGCGGTTAAGTTTGACTTAAGTTCCAGATCAGTGTTACATGTACCGTGTAAAGCTTTCCGTTTTCACAACTACAGATAGTAAGATCTGTGAATGTGTTCAGTTAATCATGCATTCCCCTAGCATCTGTGTAATTTTGCTGTACTTATGTTTTGTGATGCTCAATAGCACTATATCCTCAGAAGGTTAGTAGCATTTATTTAACTGAAAACTCAAGATATTATTTAGAAATTTAACATTTTTAGGTTGTTATATCATTTGTGCTGCTATTCATTTTGAAAACACAATGCGAATACATCCAGTGTCAGTTTCGGTTTAACAGCGCGCATTGGTTCCGAACTTTCTCGTAAAACGATTCCTTGCCATCCCTTCTCTTTACATGATTCCATTACTGGGGTATGTGAACAAAATCGTTATGATTACAAGCTGAAGCTAGCGGAAGTTGGATTCCGCAAATAAAGCGTGACAAACAGCAGGGTAAATTTCATAACTCACCAGAAGTTTCGAACTTCGTGGTTTTCCTTCTCATTAAGGAAAGGAAAGGCGTCATGAAGTGTCAAAAAGTAATATGGAAATCTCATTTTTACCTAGACGATTGCCGTTTTCTGGGATTCAAGGCCGCATCTGACGGTCAACGCCTCATAAACCACGTTCTTAGAATTGACGACGTCAAGGATGAAATGATATGTGAGATAAGGTGTTTCATGGAGCCAAACTGTGTCAGTTATAATTTCCAAAAGCTACCGAGGGGAAACAAATGTGAGCTAAATGATGTTACTCAGGAAGGAAACGAAGACGACCTTGTTGAGGATTACAATTATACTTACCGAGGAGCAGAGGCAAGTGGAAATTCCAAACTTTTTAAGTGCTTAGCCTTTTACACCTTGACAATAGTATGCATATTCTCTATATTGTTCTCTATACATTTGTAATGGTGCTGACAAGGAAAATTTGTTTAAAAATTAAAAGTTTCTTAAGTTGATGATCAAATTCTTTATTCCCGTGGCCTTAATGTGTTGTTCATCGGTGATGCTATGAAGAGAAACTAGCCTGGTTAGTCACTATAAGAACGGTTAAAGGGTTAATTGGATCGCAATCAGCTTTCTGTCAACGAGACAGAACCAAGGATCTGGGATACTTAGTTTTTCTTATTATTCGACATTGTTACATTCAAGGAGTGCTAACTTTAAAGTGGCTATCGAAAAAGAATAAACATCCACGAATTAAGACTGAATAACAGGTTTCTAGTAATATGTGTGTTTTTACTCACCAGTCCTTCTGGGATAGACTATTGAGTGAAATAGCTAAATACTATTTCAAGATATGATTCTCTAGATGAGCATCTTGTTTTTTTTTGTTTTTTTTTTTGTTTTGTTTTCTTTTGTTTTGTTTTGTTTTTTTTCCTTCGGCTAATCTTTTTTTTCTAATGTCAGAGTAACTGTATAACACGCCCTTGCAAGAACAACGCTACTTGTCAAAACGGTTTTACCGACAAAGGTTATCGCTGTTTGTCTTCAGCTGGATTCAAGGGTCAAACTTGTGATGAAGGTGATGCCATTCTCTAGATTTGTAATTCCCCACTTTTCACACTTTAAATACAAATGAGAGTTATGTTAAATTAAAGGTAGCTACAATTAGGATTGAAATCGATATGATCTATTTTTAGTTACTGACGAATGTGCTGCTGGAAAGCACGACTGCAGTGCCGATGCTGTACTATGTAAACCTGAATATTCTGGAGATCGAAAGACATGCAAAGCTAGATCTGGCTTTTTGGTTATTCAGTTCTTATAATTAATATGTTGCTAACTTAATAAGAGAAGACTCACGAGAAGCTCGGAATCACACGTGTTCCTTCTCGCACAAGTGCCTGTTTGCCTGAATTTAAATATTCAAGGTTAACCTAAAAACTCAGAAAACAAGCGTACGTTTTATAGTTCACGTCTTTTTGTTTTGTTTTGCTTTAGAAATTCAAATGATTCATTCATTTAATCTGCTTTCAGTTGATAATAAATATTTGATAGTAAATAAATATTTGACCCGAGAGGATATGTGCAGAAGTTTTCTTTTTCTTTTCCATACGATGAAAATATTTTGACGGCTTAATGGTAATTAAATTCAATATGGTATATCTTCAGATATTGACGAATGTGCTATAGAAGAGCAGAGGTGCTGTGTTAATGCTGTCTGCAAAAATACCAAAGGATCGTACAACTATATTTGTAAACCTGGATTTTCAGGGGACGGATGGACCTGCAAAGGTAATGCAATGAATCATCCCAGACTAAATTCAGTGCCAGACAGATCGTTGTTTTGCAAAATAATTATCGACACAATGTCCATAAGGTCGAATGCTGCATTAGAAGATCAGTTAATGATATGCATGATTAGATATTAAAGAAATGTGGTACAAAAGAGCATGTAAAATAACATCAAGGGATCGCACAACTGCCAAAGTAAGTCTGTATATTCAGGTGACAGATGGACATGCACTGGTAATTCAATGAAATATTGCATATTAAATATATAGCCACATCGATTGTTACATTCTAATATATACCTGAGCAATATTTTCGAGAGCGAAATGGCACTTGTGCGTTAAAAGATCATTTGATGATTTACCTATAAAGATTTCGACGAGTGTGGCACAGGAGCATATAACTGCAGCGCTGATGCTGTATGCAACAATACCAAGGGGTCGTACAACTGCACATGCAAACCTGGACATTATGGAAATGGACACATATGCAAAGGTAACGTTGCTGTGTCCTTCCCTTCATATAAAAGTATTCCTTATTAAATCAGCGAGAGATCACAAAAAGATCTCAACAAGGCCTTATTAAAAAACCGCCTCCCGGTTAGCTCAATGGATAGAGCGCTGGACTGTTGTGCGGGAGGTCGAGGGTTCGAGCCCCGGCCGAACCAACACTCAGGGTCTTAAAATAATTGAGAAGAATTTGCTGCCTTTCTATAACATCAAGAAATGGTTAGATATTCTATTCTTCTCGGATAGGGACGAATAAATGGAGGTCCCGTCTCCTGCAGGGTTGGGGTAGGAGACGTTAATTTCCCACACACGAGATTACTGTGTGATGGATGTCCTCCCCTGGGGTGGGATGGGTGGGATATTGGGCGCACTTAATTTGGAGCCTCGCTCTGTTGTGCTACCCTCACCACACTCTGGTGAAAGTGATTAAATAAATAATAAGTGGAAGTTCTGAATCACAAAATTCAAATAAACATGACTACCGAGCCATACATGTACATTACCGTTTCCTAGGAGCGATGCGGTGTGGTACTGGTTAGCGCTTTAGACTCCGGATGCTCAGTTCCGGATTCCAACGTTGCTGATTTCTATTTGTATGTTTCCGGGAAAGACTCTGTTTTTTTCTTTCAGGCTCCCTTTTCATTCTTGCCTGAAGTGCAAGCGTCTTATTAGGGCGAGTTAAGGTTCAGAAGCTCGCGATCGTTCATTCAACAAAGACATGTTTGATATGGAGTTAAAGTCGTCGACGGAGCTGAAATGGCGAGACTTCTACCTTTTATAATTGATAATCTCTACGACTTGCATAATACAGAGAAATCATGAGCGTTAACGTAATTCCAAAGCATAAAGGATTTTCCCCTAACGTATACGTACAAAGCAATGCTTTTTTTTATAAATTATTAATTATCATGTGCTCGTATTGGAAGTCTTGTTTTTCCCACTGCAACCTAGACAAGGGTTCAGTTCTAATGCATTTTTATCTTAATTTTCTTTATCTATCTTTCTCAAAACTTACGAAAAGTAATTTTTAAGGGCTAAATAAGTGCATTACACCCTTACCCCCTGACCTTGCAAACTTTAACAAAGCATGTCACCCCTTGCGGATTTTTTCTATTCATTTATTTATTCATTTATTTGTTTGTTTTATCATTATTAAGATTTCTTTTTTTTAATCGGTAGCCGTCGGGGTTTCAAGCTGCCAGGAAGCTTATGACAAGAAATTGTAAGTACGATAAACAACTAACGTGATACCGCAGGAAAACTTATAAATGTCATAGGATAGGACAAGTCAATACGTAGTCTTACTGTTTTAATACGGCTGTTTTATAGTTTATTTGTTGCTGTTGTTGTTGTTGTTTTTTTTCGATTGCATGTAGCAAGTGAAAACTCAATTCAATTTAGTACTCAAAAATGGTGAATGCGTACCACAAGCTTAACTTCTTTTAATTATTTTATCTAATCCGATGTTGTTTTTGATAGAATAACTGTGAGCAGCATCGTTACGCTTCATATAGACTCAAAGCTTACTTCCATTTTCTGTCACGTGGGGGATGTAGGATGTGGAAATGGAACGTGGACCCCAGTTATGAAGATTGATGGTGACGAGGTATTTATCTCTCCATTTATTCCCGTGATTCGATCGATTTTAAAAATATTTTGCTTTTGATGTATAATTAGATAAATTTAAAATAAAGTTTTCGATACCAAAATTTGACCTCTGTTTTCACCTTACCCAACCTCTTCAATGATGCTTCTTGTCTGTTTTCATATCACCATGTTTGACCTTTTCTAACTTTTTGCAATTAAGTTTGTAATTTTCCTCGAGCCAAAAGTAATTTGGTGGTCGTGAGAGCAGATACCAACAACAACAACAGGTAGTTCTTTGTTGAAGGCTGTTTTATTGAATTCGAACCGTTAAAAAGTCGTTTCAGACATTTGGCAAGTCAAGTTACCATTAAATTCGTATGCGCATTTATCTGTGCTGGTTGGTCGTTGGAACTAACGTATTTTTCTTAATGCATTTTTCTTCGTTTCCTGCTCAGCAAAATTTTCATCATGATTCAGACAATTGGAGCAACATGACAGAATATAACTTTCCTGGAAGGGATTTGCTAAGTTATTCGTTTTTTCTATCTACTCAACGATGATTGTCTTGTATTCCTGATCAGCAAACATTTCATTATGATTCCAATTACTGGAGAAACAAGGAGGAATATAATCTTCCTGGAGGAGAGACTGGTTTTGATAGATTGGAGACCAAGTTACCGACCTATTGGAACACATCCTTCTCCAAGATCTGTCTCGGTATGACGATTAACCAACAGCTCAGGTTCATTGGCATCGACATGCATGCCACTTCCCTGTACTCACTGATCGCTGATGGAAAACACCGCGCCACCTCATTAGGTCGTGACATGTGGAGGTCACTGATTGGTCCTCAGGCCTCCTCGCAGATTCATTGCAACAAAGAAGGGTTTAATATTTTCTCAGAGCAACCATACTGGAGGAATATAGTTGCTAAAGCAAGAATCGGTTTTGTCACCAACAATGTCAATAACTGCGCTGATGTCGATACCAGAATCGGCTTTGGTACAGGAGGACCGCATGATGACAACAACACGTGTGGAATCGTTGCAGACAAGAGCGGTCTTGATAATGGGAGGAGGTTCATTAAAGCCATGGGGTACATCTTGGTGCAGTGACGAGCGAAAACTGTACATGCAGTGATAAACAACGTCACCGTCATTATCTTTCAAATACAAACTTATTTATTTGCCTTTTTACCCGATAAATTAAAAATTTATCCATAGTTCAATTCATGGCGAGGTGACCTCGAGAGACCACCAGTTTATAGTTAAAGTCACCTCATATTAAATTCAATTACCTATTTTAATTTTTTTTTGGCTTTTTTCAGCAAAACATTTAATGATAATAATGTTTTGAGCAACTGAATTTACAAATAATCAAACAACGTCGGGATTAAACAAACTTGTGATTTCCAAAATAAAGCTGTACTTTCCATCTTTTGAATGCTTTTAAAAGCAGTTATCAGTGCTTTTCCTCATAAAGAATCGATGCTAGTTATTTTATTGTTTTCAGCTATTGCGTAAACTGCGGTGTGTCGCCATTTCGATTAAAACACGACTACACAAGTGCTAAGAAGCATGAAAATTAATTTTTTCCTCAACAAATGTACCATCTTTTCTTCAACTTTTCTTAATGCAATAAAGATATAGTATTCATTGTTTTTTTCCTTATGAAGATGTTGTCTCAAGACAAAGCCATCTGCAAGTATATTCTCGACTCCAAAACATTTGAAAAATACAAGAACGGGTTGGTACCAATTGTAACGTGTTCAAACTCCACATGAGTTCATCAAATGGTTTGGTGTCAATGATGCATTTCCTTCGAACCTGTATTATTTTACTACTACTTTGTTCTATGATGGTCAGAGACGTTTTCTCAGAAGGTTAGTACCATTAATTTAACCCAAAATCCATAAGTTTTATGAAGTTTAATCTTGTTAAGGTTTTATGATTTGCACAGGTGACGAGATCAACGCAATGCGATTTCTCTGTCTAACTTCAAGTTTTGATTAAGCAGGGAGCCGTTCTCCACTGAAGCTTCTCTGACTTTAAGCTTTCTTTTGCAGAAAAGTTAATAGAGTATAGCTAGCGAAACGAAATTCTTTCGCATATAGAACACATACACTAAACAAACAACATTAATATCCAATTGTGTTTCATAGAGTACGAATAACACGCGAGACGAGTGCAAATATCACGCGATATTTGTACTCCAGGAATATCTGCGAAATTCGCCCGTACTGAAATAGTAATTTGTCGTGTGGGATAATAAATCTCTTACTAGACGTTTTGTTGTGTAGTATCGCTAAGTATTTTTACTTGTTGTTTGTATTTTGACTCGCCCTACGGGCTCGTCAAAATATAGTACAACTAGTAAAATACTCAGCGATACTAAACAACAAAACGTCTAATAAGATATATATATATTTTTTTTTTTCCGCTGGCTCTTTTATTGTTACGAAAAATTGCAAGTTTCAATCCATGTAAGCCTCTGATCTATTACTCAAAAATCTTAATTGGACGTAACATTTTCAATTTTACATTTTATAGAATTTAAAAAAGGTACTCTATCGTCAAGTTCTAAATGTACCATGAAAGATCTTGTTCCGGTTTGAAACATGCGAAAAAATATACAGAATAAAATACAGAGGCGACATTTTATATAAATTGCCTTAAAACATTTCATTTTATTAAAGTTAATGTCAGCTTTTGGGAAAACACGATTCGGAGTTACAATATTCTTCCGCCATCTCCCTGCGTAATGTGTTATGAAAACTTTCTTGTAGACTTAAGCCTTGTTGATAACAACCAACAAGCTCCAAACTTCCAGAGCAAATGACGACTGAAAAATGTATTTTTCTATTAGATATCTTTATAATAACTTAAGCTCCTCGGTAGCCACGTGATTCGCATCGTTGAGGTCATGGAGGTGGAGCTCTGTGAAACCATAAGTTATGTGGAACCCTTCTATGTCAGCATTAATCTTGATAAGCGAGTAGATGAATAGGGAAAGTATCGCATTGCGTTACTAAAGAAGGACACGAGTGCGAACTGATTGAAGACGGAATTATATTTACCACGCAGCTGTGGCAAGTATTTCACATAGTATACTTACATTTTTGGTACTCTCCGAGGACACCGCGGAAATACGTTTTCGTGACGTCACAGTGGTCAGTGGTCATCAACATTAGGCTGCCAAGTGCTTCCATGTGTTTGTGGACTGAGTTCGATGAAAACATCGGCCTTTTGCATGGTTTTAAGTCGGAAAATATCCATGAAAAAAGCAAAAATAAATAAAATAAAATGATTAGTGAGGGAAAAGCAGCTTAAAAAATAGACATACTACAAATAATTCATAATTGTAATGAGAAATACTTGTTGGGAAAGTAAAAACTATTGCTCAGAAATAAAATTACAGCTTGTCAGAAAAAAAAATTACAAACTAAGATGGAAAGTGAAAACTTCTTTATTATCATTATAATGGACATTTTGTACTTAAAGCATACCTCGGTTTATTCTTCCTCTAGTTGAGCCAGTCTTTGTACTTTTGGGGGCTTCAGTCCTATGCATGTTACAGTCGTAGGTTTTTTGGCCAACTATGATACATACAGTAACTAGTGGGGATAGGGTGGCCGTGCTACACGGGCATGTTTTGTCTTCTTTTCGGCGAATCTGACCGAAATGCCGTTGACATGCCCATTTATACGGTTCAAGCCACTGCTTTACAAACCTGATAGTGCAGCGTCCTCGGATCACCGCTTCAACCATTCAAAAATCGTCTCATTTTTAGCCTTGGTGCATAAGCTCTTTTATAAACAAAACTTAGTTGCCACGGAGCCGCCAGCGAAAAACAACAATTTCATATCGTGTGCAACTTCAGTTCGGCTTTGGCAAATTATATAATTGAGCTTAAGAACTATCCAAAAGGTGAGCCGAGTTTCAAAGCTAAGTTTACAGTATTCTTTCTGAGTTTTGACTTTTTACGTTGTCGATTTGACTCACGGCGAAAAACATTGTAAAAGTTATCGGCATTTCATGGTTTCGTTGAGGTGTCCGCTGACCAGTAAAATACTGTATCGTGCCCTAAAAAACGTATTTCCGCGGTGTCCTCTCCGAGTAACCGAAAATGCCGTGAACACAAGCACCGTTACTTTCAGTTCTCACGTTTAGATAGCTATGTAAAACTATGCTGTTGATGAGGGAACCAGGCAAATTAATCACTAAAGCCTCGTTTCTCTTCCACGAAAGTTTAAAACTTTCCCAAGCCTATCATTGCGAGTTAAAAGTGATGGTTACTTCATTGGCGCTCCAGGAACTGACAAAAGGTTAATAACTTTTCATTTGGATAGAGTATCTTTGTCGGAAAAATCCTGCAAGCAACCTGTCAAAGTGCTTTTACCAATGATAGCTTAAGATGTTTACGTACTCCAAGTACAAGGGCCAGAGATGTGATCAAGCTAAATTCTCTTGAAATTTGCATCCCAAGAGGACATTTGTCAGGTATACTTTGGTATGACTTTGTACGAAAAAGCGAACGAGCGAGCAAATGAATGAGATAATTTAAGAGTAAATGAATGAACGTATGAGCATAATAAGTCGTCTTAAGACAATCGTTTACCACCTGAGCTGCCGGGGCAAAGCCATGGTAACACTCTGTAAATGCTAGAACTACCACTAAAGGTGAATGAGTTATAATCATCATAATTATTATTACAATAACAAAAAGAAGGAGATGTAGAGGAAGAAAAAAAATGATGAGTAATATTGTTAACTTTAGTATAATAGCAATAATGCGTGCAAAATATGATTGTATTTGTGAAATGAAAAACCTGCAAATGTCATAAGCTAGAGCATATCGTTTTACAAATTTAAATCGAAAAATTGTTTACTCAACAAGAGACCATATACTCTCTAGATACACCCCTTTCTTCTTTTTGATTGAGCATTATGTATAATTTATCTTTCTTGACCAACTTAAGAAAAATAAGTTCAATTTAGGATATACATAACACCAAATAAAGTGCCACTTTGGCTACAGGTTATGAGATCATATTTTGTAAATTTGAATATCCAATTTATGGCCATGGGGACGCGTTGAATGTGACACCTGCCCTTTATTCTTTTCTCGTATGAGTGTTTAAAATTGATTATGAATTATAAATTTTGTTTATTCTCTTTCTTTTTTTTTTTTTTTTTTTTTTTTTTTTTTTTTACTTCGTCTTATTTTATCATTACATGTCTTCGTTAACCGGTCAAGTGAAAGATCAGAGCAGTCAAAGATCTTCCTTTCACCTGAAATGTCATATCAGGAATGCCTTGACAGTCTTATCCTGCCAACTTTGTATGATAGACGCATAGAACTCAGTTGTTATTCGTTAGATTCCATCGCTAACAATCCCGAACATAAGTTGTACCATCTTCTGCTATCAAGGAAAAAATCTAGTTCGAATTTAAGGCGTCAAGAGATATATAATTTGGCACGTTCTAACACGTGCGCAGAATAGCTCCTAAAGTTTCAAAGAAAGTCGAATTTAATTTTAGATGTTCATACATATTCTAGATTTATCATATTAAGGCTTTTACATTTATATGATTGTATTTAGCTCTGTATTTTAACCAATGTTATCTGTAAAATACACTATTCAGTTTTACGACTGCAAAGTATTTTTCAATAAACGATCTATCTAAATCTTCATCATCTATCTAAGTTTTTAACATTTTTTTGTGGATCATCAAAAATAAATTTAATTAAGGACATCCTTTATACCCATTGGCGTGCTACTTTAGTTAAACAGTATAAATAGATAATTATGTATTTTGTTCATTTGAGCAAGGACACGTCTCTTCAAACGAGTGCTCGAAATTAGTTATGAATTATAAATATTGTTTATTGTTAATGCAATTTCTACCCAATAGGGAGAAGCATTGCTTGCATAGGAAAATAGTCATTGGGAAACCGACACATCGCATGTACCTTGCAAAGATCTTCCTTTCGAAAGAGATTAGTGGTCTTTAGGCCGTTTTGTTTTTTTTTCTCTGAACGATGGCTGTTCTGTGGCAATTTGAGATTTTGACCCCCATCATTTCAGGAATTCTGTTTGTCGTGGTTAAGACGCACTTTTGTGGAAGCGTTTTTGAGGCCCAAGTCGGTAAATATATACCTGCAGTGAAAATACTAAACTGAGTCCTTGAGTTTACCTTGATGAAACACTGTTTCCATTTTATTTCAGACCATGCTTTAATCGGTCACGTAATGCACACGACTGCCGTTAAGGAGGACTTTGAGTGTCAGATGAAATGCATGGAAAAGGACCGATGTAGGTCTGTCAATATTCATATCAGTGAAAGTGATGGTAGCCGACTTTGTGAGCTAAACAACAGTACACGGGAAACGAAGGCAGGTGATTTTAAACAAAAGAAAGGATCTGTATACCATGGCCCTATAAAGGTCAGTACCAAGATTTTCGGTTATACCGATTAGAGCGGTGTGATCCGTTTGAAAAATAGTGGTTATTATGAAACAAAAGGACTTGACTACTTCCAAAACTAAACATCATTACCGATAGGAGAACTTCTTTATTTAAATCAGCAACGTAAAGGGTGGTTTACAAGAGAAGGTTTTTTCCTTAAGAGACTCCTGATTATTTCGATGCTCAAACGAACGTGAATGTTCCTATTATCACAAATATAAATAAATATCAATATGTTTCGTGATTGCTCACTCATCAGTTAATAAAATCCCCTGATGAGGGAGTAGTTACGAAACAGGATTGTAGGGATGAAAGCGTGGTCGTTATTTTTCGATCCCTAACTTAGAAATCGAAAAATACAACATATATTGCTACTTTTATGCATCGAGCACTGTAATACGGAAAAATCGAAACGCAGACTTCTTTATATACATATATGTAAACATTTACATGGCACAACATTTAAGAAGGAGTTTAAATGAGCTGAAAATTAATGTCGGTTTTAAAAGTCACATATACTTACCCAATTTGGCAGCTCGAAGACATGGTTGAGAGGTTGAATCGTTCATCATGCTTTGTGAAGTTTAATTTGTTGCTTAATATAGTTTTGCTATCCCATTCTTAATAAAAAAAAAAAAGTTATAAAGTATCTTTGCCCATGTGAAAGTGGTGTTTTATGTCAAGAACATCTCAGAGCGAATTTGATATTGTGAAAATCTTGAAATCCAAAAAAAGGCAGACCGATCAGCCGTGCGATATTTTTATTGCGAAAAATAGACTGTAAACATTTTGGCGTGCGTCTTCGTGAAAATTTCGAAATAAAGATTGTCTTGTAGATAGTTTTATTACAGTACTTCAAGCTTTGGGTTTGAAATGTTTTCACATTGTGCTGGCAAACACAAAAGGCGTGACGTCACAACTGTCGTTATATTGTCGATCTAAAGGCGAGAAAAATGAATAAGAAAATAAATTTATTCCAAGAGGGAGGAGAGATAGGAAAAAAAAAAAAACATGTCTTTTGCATCCTTTACATGCTAGGCCTCTTGCACGGATGTTTTGAATGGGAGAAATGGAAAAGCTAAAAGTGGTCAGTGCCATCCAGGGTACAAAGGAATACGGTGTCAAACTCGTAAGTGGTGAGAACTTTCCAGATGCACCTGATAGTGTCTTAGTTCCTCCAAATTCGAAGGTTTTTCAAACCAGCCTAACATCTCCAATGAAAGTATTTTTTAACATTATTTTTACTTTAAAGAAAATCCTTTAGTTACGCCGCCACGTACTGGCGAGATATATAGGGCTGCTTATTTAAACAAAGTTTAGCCGTTGTTTAGTGCATTCTTGTTAATTTGTTAAATTTCCATCATTTAAGAAAATACCACATTTCTTTTTTATATTAGCTAAAGGAGGCTTCAATCATAATCTAAGTGGCCATTCCTGTAAGGAAATTCGGGATGCAAACCCCCTTCTCAAAGACGGGGAATACTGGATCGACCTTGAGAAGAACGGAAGCCTCATAAAGGTCTATTGTGACATGACAACTGACGGAGGTAAGACATGGATGTTTAAAAATATACGAATAATAATAATAATAATAATAATAATAATAATAATAATTTATCAATTTATAGTGCGCTTTTTACATACAATGATCAAAAGCGCATTACAAGGACTTACCTCGTTCAAATTAACTTAAACAATATAATATGTCAAACTGACAATAGAACTCAATATAAAATTGCTCACCGATAGAAAGTTTTAAAAAGATAAGTCTTAATATGCGCCTTAAAACTGTTCACATTAGTAATCGCACGAAGTTCTTTTTGGAAGAGAGTTCCAGAGCCTTGGCGCTGCTACCATAAAAGCTCGATCACCTAACGTCTTGGATCGAGTAGCTGGCATAGAAAGTAAAATACTATCTAAAGATCTAAGGTTATATAGGAACGATTTAAATGTTAGTAAATCACATAGATATTTAGAAGCAAGGCCGTGAATTGCTTTGAACGTAATAAGCAGAATCTTAAATTCTATCCGGGCTTTAACAAGAAGCCAATGCAGACCGCGAAGAAGGGGTGAGACTTGACCCCTGACATGACTTACATTCGTAAGTCTTTCCTTACTAATGAAAGGAAAGACTTAAGACGTCAGATGAAGTTGCTTTGTAAATTGATTCTTTATTTATTCATTGATCTATCTAATTTCCCTATCAGGAGGTTGGCTGCTTGTCTCCAACGTTGTCGTTGACGAACCATCCTCGCGACTGTATTCGTCCGAGTCATCATACCGAGAAATCGGCAACTGCCTTAACAAGAATATATTACTCACAACAAATGCCATGAAAGAACTGAGAACACAATTATCCTTCACTCAGCTGAGATTCCACTGCACCAAACAACAGGGGCGTACCTTTCATGTGACCACGGCTGCTAATAGTACTGGTGAAGCTGTAGTCCAATTCTTTAGCGGTCAGAGAGATACCCGCCCGAACGCATGTGGCTCGTTCATGAGAATGAAGGATGACACCTCGAAGTTAGCTGGCGAATGTTCGCGATGGAGTAGTTGGGGAGCTTTTTCCGGAGGGGAGAGATTTAAGGTCGTTGCCTATGTCAACGGGAAATATCACTGGCTATTTGATAATCCTGGAGGCTTAAGATGGGAATGTGACGACTATATCTCCAGTGAATTTTTCGGATTGTCCACGGGTGACTTCTGGAAGGTGTTTGTTCGTTAAGAACAAATAAACAAATCTGCTTAATCCCTTTAAGACCTATATTATTATATCCTCACTTTGTGGGGCACTGTGGAAAAAAAAAAGATAACAAAGCGCGATTTCTACACTGACTCTAATACCGCTTTACATTCAGTAACTAGTTGGAGGAAATATTTTCTAGCCCGCGAAGAACTGATCAGGTCGTAAGATCCTCTTTGCACTATCGGACATTTTTTGTTGTGAAGTGCATCACATCCTTTGTTGTGAATTGATAAACTCAAGGCTACAGGGTACTTGAAATACATCATGTGGACTTATAATTGATAACCCATCGATCTCGCTAATGAAACATTGTCTTGAAACAAATGAAAGGCCTGCTCTAAACAACTCGTTTGATACAAAACCAAAATATACTAAACATTCTTGAGATGAATGCCTCATCACTTATTTAAGTAACATATATCCATGTTATTGTTCCATATGAATAAGAATTCAACTGAAGCAATACTTGTAGAAGCTGATTTTAGAACATAATTGGGCCAGCCCTCAAGAAAAAAAGTAAGGAGATGTACAACATTGTGAATTTTTCAGAGAATTTACCATCTCGTTTCACCAAGTTCTCGATGTGGTAAATTACTCTAAAGTAATAAAATAAACATCAGTGGTGTTATAATTTATATATATCACTGAAATGGTAACCTAGTGATGGCCCAACCGTCAATTTATTGGTAGTTGCCGGTTAGCATGATTCCTCGTGGGGGAACTCGTTATTTTACCCTTTGTCCCATACAGGTGATTAAAGGTCCTATATTTTTTCTTTTATTTTTGGAAATTCGAGGAAATGATCGAAATCTTTGACAAAATTCGATCTATATTAATTAAATTGAAATGGTGATGATAGTTTTTATCTTTCCCTTCACAGTTTCACAACGTGGATTTGTGGAAATCATGATCGAAATGAACCAAAACATAATTTTTCTTTCTTTGCATCTGTATTTTACATGGTATTTTTCAGGAAAAAAAAATACACTGTAGATATATGGATAGAGGCTGAACTGTTGTGCGGGAGGTCGAGGGTTCGAACCCCGGCCGTACCAACACTCAAGGTCTTAAAACAAGTGAGAAGAATATGCTACCTTTCTATAACATTAAGAAATGGTTAGATACTCTAGTCTTCTCGGATAGGGACGAATAAATGGAGGTCCCGTCTCCTGCAGGGTTAGGGGTAGGAGACGTTAATTTCCCACGCACGAGATTTCTGTGTGATGGGATGTCCTCCTCTGGGGTGGTTGCTGGGTGGGAATTGGCCCTGAAAAGCCCCCCATGGGGAGTGGTCAGTTAACATATGTATGTATGTATGTATGTATGTATGTATGTATGTATGTATGTATGTAACTACAGTATTTCCTCGGATCTTGCTCCTGCATCCTATGTTACACCCGGGTAAATAACGATAGCAATACCTGTCGTGATAACCTCCTCAGGTATTATATTTTGATTTGACTAAGGGAGAGATATTTATTAACAAAGAGCAAGGACATAAACATTACCACAAAAGTCTACGTTATTCGAGATAAATTAATTGCCCTGGTTGCTTCTAAAATGAATTTAGTTGTTTTTTCCCATTAAGAATTTGTGTCCTCGAGAGAAAGACTCTGGGTGTTTATCCGGTCAAAAAACACTCAGGAAATCGACATTGATCATAGTTCCAGTATAATACTTTCACCGTGTAGCGCTCCCACCAACTCAAGAGTAGTTCTCCGAATGAGTTTGTGTCAGTATTCCCTGTACTTTTGTTTTATTTTGCCATTGCTTTGCTGTGTGATGTTCAAAACTGTTTCCTCAGAAGGTTAGTGGCACGAATCTAGTCCTAATTCTATATAGTTTCCGAATGTTTCTACCTTTCTATTGTATTGATTTAAACTGGTGATTGAATTATAACGTGAAAAAAATACACAGTTCAAATTCAGTTTCCTTGTCGATAGAGGCGAGCTCCTTGTTGATGTTGTCTACACAATTAGTTCAGCTGAAAAAAATATCATCGTTTAAAGTCAGTTTCATTGTCATTGGCAGCGAGCTGCTTGTTGTTGTTGTCGATTCAGTCGACACAATCAATTTGTAGGAGAATCAATCAAATTTACCTCGTCGAATTGACCACTTTCATAAATGGCTGCCGGATTGATATTCTTTTGTTTAAATCTAAATTAGCCTTTCTGGCCTCGTTCTCCAGTTTAAAATTCAAAAGAATGCATTATCTCAAGCGAGGCTAGTGAGGCTAATTTGAATTTAAACAAAAAGAATATCAATCCGGTAGCCATTTATGAAAGTGGTGTATTGATGAAGTCAAAGTCTTTCACATTCTTCTTTATAAACATAATACATCATGTAAATGACCAAGCATAACAGGAAAATCTTTACTAAAATTTTATCATTTGTCGTAAGCGAACTCGTAAGCTTCTGTACATATAAACGAAAAATGATTCCAAGCTGATATATCTTGGCTCTCATCACCAATTCAAGAGGCTGATTGGAATGAAACAGTTTCATCTGTGCATTTCATACTTTCAAAGACACTGAGGTGAATAACTGTTTTAGTACCTGGTACAAAAATACCAAAAAATAGCTTATTTCTTTAAAAAAAAAAAAAAAAAAAACCAAGAATAGTCCGAAAATCAAATTCTTGACGTGAGATTTTGTTTAATCGGCGGCTTGGAGGGATAAGCATAATTTACTTGTGTGGTACAAACTAACGAAATATTATCAGAGCATTAAACCACTACTTGTCCTATCCTTTTTCCTTTTTTTCTTTTTCCTTTTTTTTTTTTTTTTGCGACATTAATTAAACTGCTTCTGCCCATTACTAACCCTCGTCTTACGCTCGTGACGTAATGAATGTCAACCGACTCTATTTCTTAACTTTGTAGATCAAGAACTATCATTCCTCGAAATAAATTTCTATGAATCAGGAATGTGGTCATTTAAAACGTATCAAAATTAAAACGTGTTCAGAATTAAAAAAGAGATATCTCTCTCTCACCCAGACAATTGCCGCTCTTTCGAATTTAAGCAATTCAAAGGATTTGACGGTCAACGCCTCATGAAACACGTGATTGAAGCTAAAGCTGTCAAGGATAAAGGAATATGTGAGATACGATGTTTCATGGAGGCAAACTGTGTCAGTTACAATCTCGAAAAGCGACCAAGTGAAGATGACGGAAGACGTAATTGTGAGCTGAATAATGTTACTCACGAAGGAAATGAAGAAGACCTGGTTTAGGACGAAGGTTTCATTTTTTTATTTATTTATTTACTCAAATTCAATTACACAGATAATCAAAACAAAAACAAAAACAAGGAGTTAAATATATATACAAGTATAAAAAAGAGATATCTGAGTAATTAGGCCAGTTTATACAGAATTCTAGATTCCTTATTTTAAATAAACTGCCTGTGATAAAATACAAAAAAATTAAAAACTAACTTAGACAAATAGCAACAACAATACGTAATCAAAAATTATAAAAATTTATCCTTACTTAAGTTAAATTTACTGATATAAAACTGATTCACTTTCTTACTAAACAATGATACTCGATCAATTGTCCTAATAGCTACAGGCAGGTC